CCTCTGCCGAATGGGTGCAGACCTACAGACCCTCCGATTGTCTTGTCCCGCCTGCCGTGACCGTACGTACCTCACTGCCGACGTCCTTCCCCGCTCCGGCCTCACACCGGAAACCCTGGGTAACCGCCGCCGGTAGAGCCGCCTGCTCCCGCCGCAGCCAATCAATAGCTGGCATGGGCGCGGAGCTTGCTGGGAAAGAGGGAGCGAAGGCGGCTTTTGAGGCGGGCTAGTCGGGGAGACGAGGGGAGGGAGCCGACTACAAGTCCCTGCGTGCAGCGGGGCGGCGGCAACTCCCAAGATTCAGAAGAAAAGGCTTTAGTTCTGAGTGTCGGAGAAAAGCTGGTCATTCTGCGTGGCAACTTGCCTTCCTTCACCGAGTTATGACTCAGCCCTCAAAGCCTTGCTCCTGGCTGTTGTTTCCTGGAGGTTGTCTTTGTTATGAATATCCATAATTCTAACAAGGAACTCTTGAGACTCAGGAAGAGGGACAGTCATGGGCTGGGACCCAGAAGACCTGTATTCTGGTCCTAACTTAACTAATTTGCTGTGTAACTGGGCATTCTTTTCTCCCTGGGCCTCAAATTTTTTAGTCAAAAGGAGTCCTTTAATAACAACATCTTTGAAAGTTTACTGTGCTTTTCTAGTTAATGCCCATTTTATAGAAGATAGATAGTAAAGCAAAGGTTAAATAGCTAAAGTGCTCAAGGTCACATGGATATTGAGTGGTTAAAGCAGGGAGGGATTCATAATCAGGAAGTCTGACAACATCACTCCTGTAACTTAGGCTATGCTGCCTTTTCTCCAGGAGAAATCACCAGGGCTTGTTTCCTTGAGGCAGAGTCAGGGTAACTTGGGAAAGTAGGTTACTCCCCCCCCCCCCCAATTCATCAGCTAGTTGGCAGTCAGTTCCTCGGGCCTCAGGGGTCCCTGACAGGGAGGTTGGCCTCAGGCAGATTCCTAAGTCCCTTCTCTAACTGTCTTACTCTCTACAAAGGCTTAGTTGCGCTGGCGATAAAGCTGGGGGGAAAAGTCAAAATTTCTTGCCAAATGTAAGATCGCCCACCTTTTTTTTTTTTTTTGAGACAGATTTTGCTTTATAGACTGAGTAGAATGCAGGTGTCATCGTAGGTAACTGAAACTTCAAACTCCTGAGTTCAAGCTATTCTCCTGCCTCAGCCTCCATAGTAGCTGTAACTACAGGAGCTGGTTACCACTGCAGGGCTAATTTTTCTATTTTTAGTAGAGATGGGGTCTGTCTCTTGCTCAGGCTGGTGTCCAGCTCCTGGGCTCAAGCAATATACCGGCCTCAGCCTCCCAGAGTTTGAAGATTACAGGCATGAGCCACTTCTCCCATAGGAAGGTCACAATTCTTTATTCCCATTGCCTATAGATAATAGAATAAAACCCAACAATCCTTGCTCCTGGATTTGAAGCTTAAGTGGTTTGGCTTCTGCCTATTTTGTATAATCTTCACCATCCTGTCTGCCTTTTTGCTCCAGGTGCACTTTTACTGTTTATGGGATTTTTCAGGGTTTTGCTGATGCTCTTCTGCCTTCCAAAATGCCCTTGTGGCAAAAACAAACTATCTTTTGAGGCCCAGCTCAAAAGTAACTTCAGAGCCTTCCCAAAGTGTTCTGCAATCTGTGCTTGCTTCCTATGTCTGGAGAGAGTTGTTACAGCATTAGGTAGTGAGGTGTTGAAATTACTATTTGCTCAGTCTGAATTTTGGAAGAACTGCTGGCTAAATGGTGTAGTGGCAGAGTCTAGCATGAAGTTATGTATAGATAGAGATTGTTGTAAATTGCTGTGCTAACTGGGCATTGCTAATCTTAGGGCTCTTAATTGATGAATCTCTATGGGAAGAGGTTGTTGTAGCCAAAGATAATAAATAAGAAAAAGGTATGTATGGGGTAAGAAGTGGAGGGTGGAGCAGAAAGGTCAATAGTGGTCTAAAAGGGGTAGGGGTGGCATTATGAGTAGAGCAGGGAAGAATAATTTTTGTTTTTGAGACAAAGTTTCACTATGTTGCCCTTGGCAAAGTGCTGTGGCATCACAGCTCACAGCAACCTCAAACTCTTTGGCTTCAGCAGTTCTCTTGCCTCACCCTCCCAAGTAGCTGAGACTACAGGTGCCCTGCATAATCCCCAGCTATTTTTTTGTTGCAGTTGTTGTTTTAGCTGGCCCGGGCTGGGTTTGAACCCGCCAACTTCAGTGTATGTGGAGGGTGCTGTAACCACTGTGCAGCTGCAGGCCACTGAGCCAGGCAAGAATAATTTTGACAAGTTGCTTTTGGCGGGCTTGCTCACGCCTGTAATCCTAGCACTCTGGGACGCCAAGGTGGGTAGATTGCTTGAGCTCAGGTGTTCTAGACCAGCGTGAGCAAGAGGAAGACCCTGTCTCTAAAAAATAGCAGTGCGGTGGTGGCAGGTGCCTGTAGTCCCAGCTACTCAGGAGGCTGAGGCAAGAGAATTGCTTAAGCCCAAGAGTTTGAGGTTACTGTGAGCTATGATGCCATATCACTCTACTGAGGGCTATAAAGTGAGACTGTCTCAAAACCAACCAAAAAGAAAAGGCCGGGCGTGGTGGCTCATGCTTATAATCCCAGCACTCTGGGAGGCCGAGGCGGGTAGATTGCCTGAGCTCATGGGTTCGAGACCAGCCTGAGCAAAAAAAAATTGAGACCCTGTCTCTACTAAAAATAGAAAAACTGAGGCCAGAGTATTGCTTGAGCCCAAAAGTTTGAGGTTGCTGTGAGCTGTGACACCAGGCCATTCTACCCAGTGTGACAGCTTGTGACTCTGTCTCCAAAAAAAAGTTATTTTTCCTTTGCTATAAAACAGCATATAATAACAATATTAAAATTGTCAAATTCAGGCAGACAACTGGCAATGGTAGTTATTGGAAAATAGAGCAGCTCTTGCAAATTACTTCCATACAGAAACCCAAGCCCAATAGTGCCAGATAGTATTTGCTGTCACCCTGTAAAGTGCTGTCACCCCGTAAAGTGCTGTCGCATCACAGCTCACAGCAACTTCAAACTCTTGGGCTTAAGTGATTCTCTTTGCCTCAGCCTCACAAGTAGCTAGGACTACAAACACCCTCCACAATGCCCAGCTATTTTTTGGTTATACTTGTCATTGTTGTTTGGCAGGCCAGGGCTGGATTCGAACCTGCCAGCTCCTCTGTATGTGGCTAGTGTCCTACCGCTTGAGTTACAGGCACCAAGCCTGGATAGTATTTTTCAAGATAGCTATTCCTTGATTTTTTTTTTTTTTTTTTTTTTGAGCAGAGTTTTAACTATGTCACCCCTTGGTAGAATGCTGTGACATCATAGCTCACAGCAACCTCAAACTCTTAGGCTTAAGCAATTCTCTTTGCCTCAGCCTCCAAAGTATCTGGGGCTACAGGCGCCCACCACAATGCCTGCCTATTTTTTTGTTGTAGTTGTTGTTTAGCAGGCCAGGGGTGGGTTTGAACCCGCCAACCCTGGTCTATGTGGCCAGCACCCTAACCACTGAACTATGGGCGCTGAGCCTATTCCTTGATTTTTAAAAAAAGTTGGCAACTAGTTAAAATTTAAAGATACACAGCCAGCCAGAAACTTCCTTTTGGGTTCAGTGAACTTTTTTGGCTACTTGTCTGTTATCTCTGCTTTAGAAATTGATGAGAACTGAAGGGAGGAGTTTGTGAACTATTGACTACAGGCTCAGGCAGTGCCTGTGGTTCAAAAGGGTAGGGTGCCGGCTCCATATGCTGAAGGTGGTGGGTTCAACCAGCCCCAGCCAGAAAAAAAGACAACAAGCTCAAAGGGTTGTGGAGTGGTGCTGATGAAACTAAATCAAAATCATTTGGAGAAACTACAGAAAATGCAAACTATAGTGACACAGATTAGTAGTTGTTGGGGGTGGGGTGGGGCAGGAAATAGGGATTCCCAAGTGGGAAATTTATGACTTAGGAGGTGATGGATAGAGTAATAATCTTAATTGTGGTGACTTTATGATTGGATACATCTCAATTTATCAAATTATATATTTTATGTATGATTTATTGTATGTCAATTATATTTCAATAAAGCTGATTTTTTTTTTGAGATAGTTTCAGTATGTCACCCTTGGTAGAGTGCTGTGACGTCATAGCTCATAGCAGCCTCCAACTCTTGGGCTTAAATGATTCTCTTGCCTCAGCCTCCCAAGTGGCTAGGGCTACAGGTGCCTGCCACAATGCCCAGCTATTTTCTTGTTGCAGTTGTCAGTTTAGCTGGCCCAGGCCAGGCTCAAAGCCAGCCTGGGTGTATACGTCTGGTGCCGTAACCACTGTGCTACAGGCACTGGGCCAATAAAATTGATTGCCCTCAATAAAGTGCTGTTGTATCACACAGCTCACAGCAACCTCCAAACTCCTGGGCTTAGGTGATTCTCCTGCCTCAGCCTCCCAAGTACCTGGGACCACAGGTACCCACCACAACGTCCAGCTATTTTTTTGTTGCAGTTTGGCCAGGGCCAGGTTTGAACCCACCACCCTTGGTATATACCCACTGAGCCACAGGGACTGCTCAATAAAGCCGATTTTTTAAAAACTGTTATAACTGGCAGGTTGGTATCGTTCTTTTTTTTTTTTTGAGACAAGAGTTTCACCGTTGCCCTGAGTGTAGTGGCGTTGTTTTAGTTCACTGCAACCTTAAACTCCTGGGCTCAAGGGATCTTCCTGCCTCAATCTCCCCAGTGGCTGATATTAAACCTCCCTGCCACAACACCCAGCTAATTTTTCTATTTTTAGTAGAGACAGGGTCTTGCAATTGCTCAGGAAGGTTTTGAATTCCTGAGCTCAAGCAATCCATCACCATGGCCCCCAGAGTGCTAGGATTATAGGTGTGAACCACTGCACCAGGCCAGGTTGGTTTAAGTCTTATTTCCACTGTTGAGCTACAAGTTTACACATCTTCTCAATCACTTCCTAAAAATCCAGTCTAGGGTCACTCCAAGCCAAAGAGGACAATTTAGAACTTTGCAACATGTTTTTATTTTTGCTTTATATCTATTACAGTGTTTCAAACCTAAAGAAATACATTTTCTCTTCAAATTTGGATGTGTATATAAATATCATTTGTCTGGACTCAGCACACTCAATGTCACTGTTTCTTGGCCTATGTCTGCTCTGAAATCATCAAACTTTGTCTGTCTACCCAGGGGCCCTGAGAACATGGAAAATAGCCAGAGTTTATAGTTGTTAGAAAAATAAAAGCAAATTAATTTGGAAAGAAAAACTGGGGAGGAGGATTTAATTCACCTTCCTAGGGTCCAGAACTGGAAACCCAAGCTGTTCTTACAGGACATTTGGTCTGTGGTGTGGCTGGGACCCCATATACCCTTTCCTCCTTGAATAGGTCAATCTAAGGCAGCTCCCACAAAGCTGGCTTAAAAAGTCGTTACCCAACTCCAGAGTATGAAGGTTCATGTAGATGTGAACTCTTTAAGGACATCCTCTGCATCAGAGGTTCCTAGCCAGTGTTAGGATCTCTGCGCTTACTTCCTTCACTGCTTAGGGCATGGCATATTGTTATAGGAGAGCAGGTAATGTGCTAATGGGGACATCAGAAGTCAGGCTGGTCCAGAAGAAGATAGATAGGTCCAAGCCCACTGAAATACACTATACAAACCTTTCTCCCATAGTGTTCTGGGCCCCAAATTTAATGCTGCCTCTTCTAACTCTCATAGCCAGCTTTATGTCTGCAAAAAAATGCCCTCTCAGAGGAAAATTAACAGCTTTAATTAAGAGATTTGGTTGGTCTTAATCTCAGATTCTTCCCTTGCAATGGTCTTAATCTGGGGTTGGGGATAGGGGATAAACAATGGGATGACTGAATTATTTCTGAAGGCCTTGGCCAAAGAGCAGCTAGTGCCTACCACATGGATATCAGTAGGGCCAAATTCTCAGCTTGTTGGCTTGACAAAAGAATGCAAAAGCTACAACAGAAAAAATACTGGACAAAGGCTGGTCTAGTCTAGAATGTGCGGTGCTAAATGATTGTGGAATAAATTTATTTGGAGCAATCTCTCAGTCTCACACTAACTTCCAGGACAGCACTACCTGGAAGATGTTTCCCATGGCTTGGTGCACTGTGCACTGCGCCCTTCCCCAGGCTGCCATGGAGGCAGGCAGGTACAAACATTCCTGAGACCCCCAGCCAACCTGATCTTCCTACTGGTTCCCTGGACTATGTGCTGGGACATGGAGAAACTGGCCTCCTATCTTCAACTTAGAATCTAGAATCTGAGTCCATAAGATGAATCTATTGAAGAATACCCAAGATGATGGATATAAAAGTGAGTGAGTCTAGGAGAGAAGGGACAGGAGAGAAGGCCTGAACAAAAAAGCTGGGGCCTTCAAAAGAGGGAGATGTGGGGTGAGGTTAGTATTGCTAGGCTTCTTTCTTTCCTTTTAGTTTGCTAAAAACAGGTACAATTCTAGGGTGGGGAGGGAAGGCAGGTAGACATGAGAAAATGGAAGTACAGTTCATTCTGATACAGTTTTCTTTTTAAACTGGTTTGGCTTGAGAGAAATAGAAAGTCTGTGTTGAGTCTTCTATTCCTCTCTTAACTAAATATAATAGCAGCTATAATCTGTGTAGTTCAGCTTAAAAAAAGAAAGAAAGAAAAGAAAAAAATAGAGCTCCTGAAGGATGGTTTCCAGGGCAGAGAGTTGAAAAAGTAGATCTAGAGCTTCTAGATAAGGAACAAACCCAGGGTCCCCCCCAGACTGTCATCAACCACCTGTTCCTTGGAGGGGTCATTTGTGCCCACTGACCCAAGTAACTAGACTGGCCAGTTGAGGGTGGGACCCATGTGGTTCTGTCAGAGGGTTGTAGCAGCCAACATCAAGGTCAGGTAGCCACTGGGAGGCTGGGAACTGAAAGGAGGCTTCTAAGAACAGAGAACCTGTTAGTACTAGAAAAGACTGGGGGTGAAATGCCTAGAGGGGTTGGCAATAAAAAATAGCTGGCACTGCTCAAAACAATAGTTGAATACATCAGCTAAGAAAAAGACTCCTTGTCCCTCTTAATCTATACCTAGATACCTCCACCTGCATCAGAGATCTTAAAATGGATATACTAGCCATAAGAGGATGCTAAAAGCATGCCTCAACTTACAAGCTATTCCCTACAACTGGCTGGGGAGCCCCTCTGTCCAGGCAATAAACAGAAATCTGCCAAAAAGCCTTTGACCTCACATAGGCCAGGGTGTGGGGTCCAGATGGGGGCTGTCCATGCAGAGTGGCTCAGAAGCCTGGCCTAAATATTTTGCTTCAAAAAATGACCAATAAAGAGAAGTATAAAAAATGATAGTACTGCCTCTGTCAGCTGGAAGAACTTCATTTGTTGGTTGAAAGGGGTTAGAGGAAGATAATGGGGGAAAATGGTCTAGGGAAGACATAAATGAAAGCTCCTAGAGGCAATTTTTCTCTGAGAAATCTGTCTTCACATTGTGCCGTCAGTAGAATTTAACCTTTGAAGTCCTTAGAGAAAAATGGCTTTAAACAGCAGCCAGATGACAAAAAAGAAAGAAAGAAAGAAAGAAAAAAAAAAACTTTCATCTGGTACAAGACCTAGAGCTGAACCCAAAATAGATTTTGGTGAAATTGCTGGGAAAGTAGGGTGTGTATGTCTTACACTGGGAATTTGGCCCCAATGTCAAGGATTTAACTACTGCCTGAAATGTACAGAGAAGATCCTACTAAATTGCACTACCCTTTGGATAAGAATGATGGGGAGATGGTGGATTAGAGCTTTTCTTTGAACTATAAGAGAATAGTTTTGTAATGGAGGTAGAAGGCCAAGTGAAAAAAAGGTCCTGCTCCCTGACTCCCTGGGAGATTGGGGGTTGGTAGCCATCTTTCCTAAGCTGTGAGGAGCATATGACTAAACAAAGCAGTCCAACATTGGTGTGATTTTTCAGTGACAGCTGCCCGCCATAAACCAATTTCCTCAGAAAATGGCTTTGGAGTCCAGCTTTAACACTAGGAGAGGGTAAATTCAAGACCAATGGCCAAAATAAGCACTGAAGTTTAGATCTGTAAGAGGGGCATGGATTTCACCTGAGCCAGAAGGGACTGTGCAAGAATGGGAGCCAGAATGGCATTGTTTCTAGGGGAGGAAAAGTTCAGGTTGGAGCAGGACACCACAGAGGGGAGGCAGGAGTAGGGCAGATTGTGCCTTCAGCGCCACAGTTGGTCTGCACTTATCTGACAACTTCCTCCTCTACCATGTCCAACAACTGAGCTTTATCAGAACATGTAATCCATCCAGAGGCATAGGCACTGCACTAGCTTTACTCAAAGAGAAGGAAAAGACATCCGGATTATAACTATCACCAAGAAGAGAAAACTGAAACCAGGTACAAGGATCCCTAACAGGGAAGGTATCAATAGCTCTCACAAAGGAATTCAGGCTGCTAAATTTCTGGGATAATAGGAAACACAGCCATGTGTGATAACTTACATGTATTGAGACTGAATTTGAGAAGACAAACTACTTTCTGGGTTTCCTGCAGCAGTAAAGACTAGAGTGGTCAACATGGATAGGCCCTGAGGACATTGCTGCTACTTTCAGGTGCTAGGGCAATCAGACCATGTGACCTGCTTTATAAACGTTCCAGAGTTGAGGGTTGGTCCCAGGTGGTGGTCCAGAATCCAAGCAGAAAAGAAATGGACCACACTCAGGCCTGAGCAAGGGAGCTTCCACATTTGTTTTTGGTCTTCCACACGGTATCCTACTTACAGAAATTACAGATAGTTCTTCCTCTTGAGACCAATTAAGATTGACCTACCTAATATATAGAATATAAAAAAATACAGAACTTTTTTGACATTCTCTCCTTTGGAAGTAAAATATACATGATCCAACTATGGAAGAGGAAGAAGAAGAAGAAAGGCCAAAGGCAAGGATCCCTGACTATCCCAATATATGACACTCTCACTCCAGCCTCCTCTGCAATTTATAGGTCACCAGGACAAGGACTTTCTCCTCAGGAGAAAGGAAGGACCATAGCCCCTGTCTTGAGCTTAGGAGAATACAGCCACCTCAGAGGTTCGTTCAACCCTGAGGGGAATTTTCAAGTAAACAAATGAAGTTGGGTCGCACCATTTGGAAGGTGGGTAGGAAACACGGGATCAGTAGCTACATGTGGGAAGCCCTGTCTGAAGGCCTATATTCCTCCCTCCCCTCCACTCCCACTGGTATACTTGCCCTAGTAAAGTTAGGGGGATCTCCTAAACTAAAGAGATCTGGGCAAGGGGTTAGAGCTCGGAGAGAGGGGCCTATTTCATGGTAGCCTCCCCATCTGCCCCTAGTCCCAGACAATGCTGGCAGCTGGGATTCCTAAACCATGAACTCATGGCTCTTGGGAAGAGCAATCTTAATACAAGAAAAATGTGCAAAAAAAAAAAAAAAATTAAATAACGCAATCCAAGCATACAAGATTAATATTCTGTCAGAGCAAGAATACTTTGTTTTGGATTTCTCCCTTCCCCTCCCACCTCCCACCTCTGGAATATTCCATCTGCTCAAGTACCCAAGATAAGAGTTATACAGATCAGGGCAGACGACTGGGAAGGATGAAAAAGATAAAGGGGAAGTAAGTCACCGCTAAAGGAAAAAATAAAAATAAAAAAAGGTGCAAATTGATTACCTTAGTCCTCTTTTGTCTACCCCTGGGCTCCCGGGTTAAAGACATGTGTGCAGCCAAAATATAGTGTAAGGAAGAAAAACCCAACACGTCCCCTTCTTGTCACAAAACCCAAATGTGAGCCTCAGATGGTTCTGTCTGTCCAGAGGGTACGCCCTCCAGGGAAGGGGGCGGAGCAGGTCAAGAGCACAGTCTCCAGGGCAGCAGAGGTGTATGGTGGCTGAAGGTGGGGCAGCTGGTTTCCCGCCCACCAGAGGGGCTGCTCTTCTGCTGGTTGGTGGTGCTTCCCATCCCCTCCCCTCCCCGGAGGCAGATATTATAGCTGGAAACCCTCCATGGGGGCCTCAGGCTGCTGGAAGATGAACTGCTGTTGTGTTTCATCCACTTGGGGAGCCAGGCTGCTATCATCATCTTCTACACCAAAGTAGTGCTCAATGAGGTCGAAGGCTTTCTGGTAGATCTCCTGGTTCTCGTGGCTCTGGAGAAATTCAATTTTATCCAAGCCTACGGGAGCAAGAAGGAAGGAGAGAGTGAAGTGTGGGTACTTTTCTATCAGATGAAACATTTATCTATTTTTCCTTCCCTGACATATGTCAGTGCTTACAAAGACAAGTAACATAATCAGATCATTCTTGGACCTTTAAGAATAGAGTCAAGATCTTTTCCCTAGGCTCGGGTCAGTAGCACAGAGGTTCTGGTGCCAGCCACATACACCAAGGGTGGTGGGTTCAAATCTGCCCTGGGCCAGTTAAACAATAATGACAACTGCAACAAAAAATAGCCAGGCATTGTGGTGGGCACCTGTAGTCCCAGCTACTTGGGAGACTGAGGCAAGAGAATCGCTTAAGCCCAAGGAGTTTGAGGTTGCTGTGAGCTGTGATGTAACAGCACTCTATCTAGGGAGACATAATGAGACTGTCTCCCCCAGCCCCCAGAAAAGATCTCTTCCCTAAACTACAGAATTCCAAAGGAAAAGAGACCAAAATGTGAGTTAAAGAGGTTCTCTTTCTTTTCTTTTTAAGACAGAGTCTTATTATGTCACTCTGGGTAGAGTGCTCTGATGTCACAGCTCACGGCAACCTCTAACTCTTGGGCTTAAGTGATTCTCTTGCCTCAGTCTCCCAAGTAGCTGGGACTACAGGTGCCTGCCACAACGCCCAACTACCTTTTGTTTACAGTTGTCATTGTTGTTTGGCAGGCCTGAGCAAGGTTCGAACCCCCCCAGCTCTAATGTGTGTGGCTGGCGCCCTAGCTGCTAAGCTACAGGTGCTGAGCCTTTTTTCTTTTTTTGAGACAGAGTCTCACTATGTCACCCTAGGTAGAGTGCCATGGTGTCACAGCTCAGAGCAACCTCAAATTCTTGGGCTTAAGCAATTCTCTTGCCTTAGCCTCCCAAGTAGCTAGGACTATAGGCACCTGCCACAATGCCCATCTATTTTTGTTGTTGTTGCAGTTGTCATTGTTGTTTTAGCAGGCCTGGGTTGGGTTTGAACCCGCCTGCCTCCATATATGTGGCTGGTGCCCTAACTACTGAGCTATCAGCACTGAGCCAGTTAAAGAGGTTCTAGTCCTGATTCTGCTTTAAACTAGCTGCATGGCTACAGCAAATCACCAGCCTCTCTCCTCACAGATGGGTAAGGAGTCAATCCAATACTTTTCTCCCTTCTTTCTTTTGAATTGGGCAGCAGTTAGAACTGAACATGGTTCAGAATGCTCCCTAGCACTCTTACTGGAACTTGCTAGAAACTCTCCTGGAAACACATGCCTTCTTTTTTTTTTTTTTTTTTT